TATCAGTCAGCTGTCAACAAAACTCCGAACTCTTTGAGAATCAGCTTACAGACACAGATCAAGGCTGAGGGCTATGACAAAAACAAGGACAAGTCCAAGCCAGAACCATCTAGATTCCACAATGCATCTGCTTAACCCCAGATATGATCAAATCAGGTAATCTTTTGAAAAATGTGGCTGGTCCAGTTAGCAACATTCTTCAGTAGCAAAATATAAATTCTTAAGAAGCCTTCTGTTCTGATGACACAGCCAAACCCAAAACAGAGAGGAGAGAGAGAGCTTGAGTGGACAGAACCAAAATCACTGGGGATTTTAGCAAAGTGATCCAGGGGTTGCCATCTTTCAGAGAAAAGTCCCCAGTAATGCCTCAAATTCCAACGAGAAAAGCAATAGCAATATTAATGAAAATGATCACAGCCAATCATCATTGATATATCTACTGTGCATCAACTTGAATTGTATGCACTTTCCATGTAGTAGCTCATTTAGCCCTTAAATCAATCCTAGGAGTAAATGCTGCATGCCCATTTACAGATGAAGATACTGAGGCACAGAATGCTTGAGAAATTGCCCAAGATATTATCACTAGAGTGAGACTGTTAAAAATGTTTACACTTCATAGTTTTGGATCCAATTGCAACTATCCTAATCTGCTTTCGGTAGAACATGTGCTTTTGAAGCAACTTCTAAGTGGATCACCACTTATGGCTTATCCTGGATGGTGACAACTAAATGCTGTTACAAATCCTGAATGCAAGCTAGAGTCTAAAACACCCAGGCATGCTTGGTCTTGACTCAATGACATCATAAGCTTAACCTTCCCCATTCCTAGTTCCAGGCCATCAACAAACCTTCATGTAAAACCCAAGCCTGCACAGGCACGAAATTTGAAAGTCAACTGCCAATAGATTAAGTAGTTGGCAATTTGAGAATGAGCATGATCAGAAGTTGCCCAGTAACAGAACCAATTACCCACCTACTTTGCCCTGTCCTTCTCTGAAAACTACTGGCCACATGTGGCAATTGTGGGTGATTACCAAAGCCTCTACCTCCTGGCACATGGCCCTGCTGTTTTATCCTCATGCTGATTTAAGACAGCATCATGATTAGGTTCAAGAATCTACATAAACACTGAAGTTATTATGATTTGTTTTTGTTTACAGAATGAGAATTTATAATATTCTTATTGTAAGCCCTTTAATCTTAAGTATTCCAAAGCATTTCCCTATATAATGTCTCTCAATGTCCCAAATAATTCAGTTGTTCTTACTGATATTCCCATTTTGTGGGAGAAGTTGAAGCTAGGATACTTATGGTTATTTAAGGTCAAAGGAGATTAAGTTGAAGGATAGAAGTGTGTGTGTGTGTGTGTGTGTGTGTGATGTATGTGCATTTGTGTGTTCAGGGCACGAGTGTGCCGTGTGCCATAGCACACTTGTGGAGGTCAAGAGACAACCTCAAGTATAAGTCCCTGACTTCTACCTCATGTAAGACAAACTCTATTTTGTTGCTAACTGCTGTGTACTTTCTCACAGGAGCCCTAGAGATTGCTGCTTCCAGTTTACACGGGTTCTGAAGATTCAAATTCAGGTCCTCACGCTTGCCCAGTAACTGTTTTATCCACTGATCCTTTTCCCCAACCTCAAAGGTACCTCCTTTTCAAATGCTTTTTCTCAGCACAAGCTACTAGCACTGGAAATATCTGATGGCAGTAGTATATGTGTGTGTTGTCACCATCACCCTGGAAACCAATTGATAGCTAATTATTAATTACTATGAAAACATATTGCTATGTAGAATTGGTAAGGATTACCTGAACCACATAGAACAAAATATTTTTAAACCTGAATATCTGACCTTTGAGAGCTGATTGAGTAGTCTCCGTTTTAAAATGAACAAGGGACTGCCCTTATTGGTACATGCTTCTAGAATCTACTATGCTGTGTTTTCTTGTTTCAATAATAGGTTTTATGGGAAGGGGTAAGATTAAAGCTTAAAGTTTAGGAAGGACTGGATGACACTGGCTACATTTGACAGACTACATGACCTTGGCATGTTCCTGTCCCCATCCTTAAAATAGGTAAGCATAGTCCTGCATCACCCAGGATCCTGCAGAGATTGCAAAGATCCATGTGGATTTTTTTTTTTTTTTTCTAACCTTCTGCAAATCACAGTGAACCACACAGGGACGCTATTTCTAAACTTGCACAATGATCATGTTCCTGCTTTTAGAACTGACGTCTTCACATTTCAAGACATCAGAAAAATAAAAAAAGGCAGAACGACTCTTTTTAAGAGGGCCGAGTTCTGGTTGTCCTTTTGAGATAGATGCTGATGTCAGCTCAATCAAGAAATTATTAACCTCCATTTGGTTACTTAAAATAAACTCTACTGGCTGATTAAATGTTCTTGAATATCAAGAAAACATTCCCCTGCAGTTACCAACGGCAAAGGCATCCTTCAAAACTATTTAAAATCAATAATAAAAACCATTTCAATGTATATAAACAAGTTAATGGAGTAGGCGAAAACAAAGCAAATTTCTTAATGAGAGGCCCTGTTGCCCCCTCTAGGCGCCTGCAGTAAATGCTGGTCTCTCTCTCCTCCCCAGGAGCCTGGCTGCTGCTGTTCTGCTAACGTCTGACTTAGGCCAGGGGGGAAATGACATCACCGGGGTGGAAAGCCGATCCTGCACTGGGAAACTTTCTACCTGCTTTCCATTTGTCATAATTATTTTGCACAATGCAGCTTCCATTTGCATAATTTTGAGGCGTGTCATTATCTCAATTGAAAATTGTTTTAATATGGCTGAATAACTCACAATGACATCAGCCAAAGTCCTAATGAAATATACAAGTATAATCATACAGCTAATTACCAGCCGTGTTAGCATTAAAAAACAAATCATGCATAATATTAGACTATGTATAAGCAGCTGAGGATTATAAATAGAGCCGCCCTCTCTCCACAAACCCCCTAGAGTTTACTTTTAAATGGCAAGATTAATTTTCTGAGGTATGGCTCATACAGTAGATACGAAATGCCTAGATCATTACAACTCCCCATAAGGAACAATTAAAAAGAGATCGTGTGTTTAAAAACATATCTACTCATTGTCAACAGTTCTGACAGACAGATGGGATCGTCTGTGGCTTTTACTCTTAAACCAGAATTTGCCATTTAGTTAGATCAACAGAAATTAAACAGGACCTAGTGGGGTCAACTCCGGGTCTTTTAAACAAATATTCCAATTTCAATTAAAAAAAAAAAGTGACCACAAATATCCCATAAAACACTGAATGATTTCCTCCTGGGTTTAGTCCGAAGTCTGTTAGGCACCAGCTCTTTTCTGGATATTTAATCCTTCCCTTCTCCAGATCACAGGCCATGTTGAAGTAATAAATTTGAAAAGCAAATAATAAGAAATCAGGAAGGGGGAGGAAGAAGGAAGACAGCTGCGCAGGAAAGTTGGGTAGGGGGAGGGGCCTGAGCCCGAGGGTGGGGGGAGGCGCTCAACCTGTTGGTGGGCTGCAGGGGTCCCACTCTGCATCCACACACCACCTTAGTCAGGCTGCAAGCGGAGCCGGGAAACCGAACGCTTAAACCCAGGGTTGTGGGGAGGGCGGGGGAGGGGTGTGTGCTAGGAGGAGGGCGGAGCTTATTTCCGAAAAGACAGATTCCTGGGCCGAGGTTCTGACGAACTCCCTTAATTAACCGGCCGCGGACCACTGAGGGGTAATTCGATCCGGGGGAGAGGGAGTGAGCTAGCGAGGCCAAAGTGCAATCAACTCCATCAGCTCCAGGAATTTCTGCCCGGGCTGGCAGCTCCAGGGCCCCGGAGGAGTTCACCACCGAACCATTCATTTAACAACAGACCTACCTCGAAAGCTCGCGAGCCTGAAGTCGAGCTAGCTGCCCTCAAAAGTCTCAGTTTGATCACCCTGCCTCTGTCTCGGGAGACACAAAGCCTTGCCAGGGGGGCTGTGGTCCTCCCTCCCGCCGCGCCCTGGGTACAGACTCCCCAAAATAGTTCCCGGGGGGTGTGTGTGGGAGGGGGTAAAGACCGCGCCACCGAGCTCGACCCTCGGACCCGGGGAGCCCGTAGAGCTGCGGTCACACCCGCAGTGACAGAGCCAGAGGGAGGTGGCTCAGGGGCAGCGCCGGGTCTACTCCGCGTCCACCCCCCGCGCAGCCCCGCACCGTACCGCACCGCAGAGGCCCCTGCAGCCGGCCCCACACCCCACTGGAAGACGTCCACTTCGCGTGGAGTCACTGGAAACCAGAACATCAAATGGTTCCGGGAGGAGGGGGAGTGGGCGCGAGATAGTTCTTAATGCCGAACGTGTTTGTGCCGGTTACACGACCGCTTTGAAATCCGCCCGGGCAGATGCGCAAGTTATTTGAATGTATTATCCCAGTACCTGTCATTTATCACTTCAGTCAACACGCCTTTGCCAACTCAATCGCTTTTGATCTCATTCTGCCTCCGTTTCGTAATTTCCGCCCTCTTAAACATATCAAATACTTAAAAGAAAAAAAAAAAAAAACGTGAACAATATCAAAACCCACCAAAAGAAATCCATCCAGCCTAGGAGCCAGGCACTAAGGCATTTTTTCCCAAAGGCAAATATATATTATGTATATATTAAAACATGGGATATTAATCTTCAAGCGGAGGTGGCAAAACCAACCAACACACACACACACACACACACACACACACACACACACACACACACCCTGGAAGAAAACCCTTCCCGACAAGTTATTTGATCTTGACTAAAATCAGCAGTTGGACGGTCTTTGTAAAGCTGACAGCCAAACTCTGACAATGGTAAAATACTCCAGCCCCAGTTAGTGGCGCTACCCCTTTAAAAAACGAGCGGATTCTGGTCGCCGCAGAACTGAATACAGTATTTTCAAGCTTGCCTTATAATACGCATTACTGGAGGGGGGGGTGGATAATAAAGAAGGAGGAGAGAGAGAGATAGGTTTACCACCTCGCCATGGTCGCTATTTCTGCCCTGGGGAGTGTCTTCCGGGAGGAAATAAAGTTTTGAGCTGGATAAAAGTTGCCGGCTGGTCCTTTCTTCCCACAACAGCTGGAGCTCCGCTATGCAAATCGGATCCTTTGGCGTACATCTTACAAAGAAAAAGTCGCCAAGGGACAAAATTCTTGGTTTGCCTTCAAGGTGGAATTGAAAAGCCTTATAGAAAATATAAGGTCCGTGTAACCCACACGGTGAGCCGACCCACTGCAGGGGGAGGGGGAGAGAAAGAGAGAAAAAAGCACCACGTAAATAATGTAGCCATCAAGCACAAATATCTATTCCCAGGCACAGTCACACACAAGACAGCCAGACTCTCAATACAGACCGGCCCACACCACAGATAGAACGCTGGGTGAAAAATATTACAAACCCCATTAATTTTTGAGTCCCTTAAAAAAAAAAAAAAGCCCTCCGGGTGTCCACCACCACCCCTCCCCAGCTCCCCATATGAGGCGATAAAATTACATTATGTAGGTATGATCAGCGCAGGGTTTTTTTTTTTAAACAATAAAAAATAATTTTGGGGGGATGCAGAGGGTAAAAGTTTGGTGAAAAGTTTGTGGGGGGTGTGGGGGGGTGTGAGGGGGTGGGTGAGCTGGGGGCCTGGGGGGTGCCGGGGGGCGCCGGGACCGCAGGAACGGAGGAGAGCGAAATACCTGGAGTGAGTTGGGCTCCATCTCGACGTTCTGAATTGATTGAACTCAACATTCTCTCCAAACTTGTTGGCTTGAATGGATTGCATCAGGTCCTGGCAGGGTAAAGCATTCTCTGCCTTCAGCTGGCGTAATGTCTCAATATAAAACTAAGCTTTTGCTTCCTCCTCGCCACCAAAATGATTGAAAATATATCCTAATATTTCTACAAAGACTCAATTTTCAGCTCTTGTCAAAAATATGTGGATTTGCTGCCAAAGATGGGGTAATCAAATTCGAAATATAGAGAAGGGCTACGTCCGACCTCGGCGGGAAGCAAATTGATCAAGGCAAAAACCATACAGAAAGACTTTTAAAAAATTAAAATCCACCCTAAAACCAAGTAATGAATGTTTCTTTTTCTTCCGGTGGCTCGATTCTGTGGGAAAGGTCGGCTGCGATTTTTGAAGCTGACCAAGGCTCTCGAGCTGCGTTGTGCATCTGACAGGACCTGCTTGTATATGTCTAATATAAAGAACATTTCCTGCAGAGATTCCGGGGCGCCGCTCCTCTTTCTAATGCTCCTTAGCAGATTTGCTGTTATTAGACATGTAGATTTGTTTGATAGTTAAATTACGCTTCCTCACTGCCATGTTTGAGAGAACTAATCTGTTAAATTATCTTCTGATGCCTATTTACACGGAAGGGAAAAGTGGGTTATCGATTATATAAACATATAAATATTAATGCATTTGTTCGCTTCGCAAAAAAAAAAAAAAACTCAGCAAGAAAAAAAAAGGAAGAAGAGCAGAAAGACAAGTGAGCAGTGCACACACGTCTCGTGATTTTGCAACAATATTGAACGGACAGCAACTGCATTTAGGGAGAGGAACAATAAACCGTGCATGATAAATCAATACATGTGAGCCGCGAGTCTGCTCGGAATATGAATTCGGGCTCCGGTTTCTGCGTGTGCATTCTTTAATTTTGAAGTATATACACTCGTACGTGTTTACAATACTGATGGACGCCAAGGGCTCTCTCAAATGATAATGTGTTTATATAACCCAGCGCTACAGGAATAATATACCGACTCCTACCCCACCCCCAGTCCTTCCCCTGCCTCCCCAATAAAAAAACCGGGAGGGGGGAGCTTCCTCAGTAATAGTTTGAAACTGGAAAAATAATCCATTTACAAACTAGTTACATATCATCAGAAATGAAGCTTTTGAAAACGAGGGCTGAGGTGGTGGTGGTGGTGGTGTACGCACCGTAAGACAATAAAGGTTTTAAATGTGTATATTTATTGTTCTGGAGCCCTGGAGCATTGCGCGGTTTGCATGCACGGCTATTATGCAAACAGAGAAACTTAAGAGCGACAGAACAAGGAGCAGGCAGACTGCAAAGCCCTCGCTCGCTGCGACCCAGCTGCCGGTCCTCCGCCTGGCTCGCTTGCATTTTCGTAGCGTTGATGTAAAATGGTGTACTCGCTTCCCCCACCCCTTCCCGGCTCTCCTCCCACTCTTTCCAGCACCCCCCACACCCCCGCCCCCCAGCGATTTTATTATATTGGCACCAATCTTTCCAGAGTGGGTCTGGCAGGCTAAAAGAGTAAACATGTACTATATGGGGATAAGGTTTGTATAGTACGACAGTTGAAACTCGATCCGCGATAAAATTACAGGATGTTGAAATTACTAGCAAGCTATTTTTAACGCTTTCGCAACGTTTCACCTCTACTCGCAGCATCGAGTTGAGACAGGATTACTTTAATGAAAATTATATTCACATGGCTGAAGTTAATACACCCAGCAGAGCACAAACGCCTCATCTTCGGTGATCTGGCGGTGGAAGGACCCTCTGTGTGTGTTTTGACGCTTTTTTTTCCATAACGTCTGCCTCCGCTGCAGTAAGAATTAGGGCACTTAACATTATCTAAACCACATTTTTGATTCAGAACATGGAGAAGTCATAAAAAGGCAAGATCTATCTTGTTTCTATACACACAGAGATAAACGAAAGAAAATGGCAGATCCTCCAATTACAATAAGTAATAAAAGCCCATGCCAAAAAGCCCGTATTCTGGAAGCTGTCGAAAAGCTATTTTAATAATTTAAAGTAATATCCCAACTCTTCACCGTGGGGGGAGGACAGTGTACCAATTTAGAGTCTCCCATCTTTTGCATTAGCCAAATTATGACTTGCACATCACTCCTTAATTATCTTCCTTGAAATTTCATCTGATCTTAACATCTCATAAACATGGGTTAGAGAGAGAAATTACAGCCCTCTCAACCTCTCTTTTTAACTTTATGGTACACACTGCAGACGTTTGATTAGAATAACCCATTTTGTTCATTTTTAACATATGAATGGACTTGACTGAAGGTCGTTTTACATATTTAAAAAAATATTCATGAGATGCCTGGGGGCTTCTGTTAGCCTCTGTTCTGTTAGTGTAAATATATATATCCAATTCAAGAGATGATATATTAAAAAAAAAAAAAAAACTTGAGTTGCTGTATTTTGACAAGATTTTCTTTGAGATCAACTGTGAGTCAGTTTCCTGCCTGACCAAGGCGGCTGCATTTATGCAGGAAACCTCAACACAGTGCCTGAGGGCATCCCTGGCTTGTGTTTTAAACCTGTCTTTAAAACACAGCTTTCCAGAGCATTTGAGCAACTTGGGTAGTCTTTGGTGCTGTGTAAGTCTCTAAGTGTCTGTAAATGACTTCACCTAATTAGAACCCTTTTTCTATGTCTCTTGAAGGTGGGCAGTACACAGGCTATGACTGCTTTATCTCCCTGATAAGGTTTCCCAAACCTAGCCCTGGATATTACTGAATATTTGCGTTTTTATAATCAGAGCCATGCTAAAATCTCAAAAGTCAATCTCTCCCTCTTTCTCCAGCACCATGAGCCCCAATCCCATGAACATAATAAATCTACTAAGTCAATGCTCTATCCAATACCGAGAAGGGCTTTTAAAATTACAGATCACAGTCATAGTGCCCCCCCATCTCTGTTTTACCTCTTTAATGTGATGTTTGATAGACACCTGTAAATTATCTGTGGAGCAACTATCCATACAAAGAAAGTTTCAATTAAGATAAGGAGATTGTATTGAAACAGTTCTTTGAAGTAATGTAGTTAATAGCCTGTTTGATTTCTGCTTGTGAGAGAGTAATAACGTGGATTCAAGCTCCATCAATCACAAAGCAGATGTAAGACTAGAGACATGGACACCCAGGGGAATAGAGGCAAACTCCTGCAGCGCAGGGTCCCTGGGCTAATGTAAGGTAAACACTCATAAACAGATTGAATGTTGTAAGAAGACAATCCATTCAAGACAGTTATAATCATGAAAGCAACTGCTTTATTTATCTATAAAAAGGCTTGTAGCTGGGGACTGACTGGGCATAAGAGAAGGGCGGAGCAGAATATGTTTACATGAGCCACTATTTCTGGTGTTTTTTTCCTTGTACTGAAACACAGTAACCTCCACCCACACATCTATATCCCTGCTGCTTTATGAGCTCCCAATTTAGCTAAGTTACCTGATATATTTAAAAGGTTTAAAAAAAATTAAAAAAAAAAAATCATTCCCTGGGCCTCAAGGGGTCCGGGACAGAGACACATTATTCAGTGTGTGTGAATCGTTCCATAAAGGATCAGGAGGATTAAGTTAGCTGCAAAACCCAGCAGTGACATAATTAGGCAGCTAGGGCTATAATAAACAGGATCATAAAAAAAAAAAAAGTACAGTTTGAATTAAAAAGGCGTCCATTACAAAACTGCCAATCTCTACACTCACCACTCGGCCTCCCTTCCCCCAAATTGCAAAAGGCAACTGAAGCATTTTTGACCTTGGCTACAATAATACTTCATGTTTTAGCACTTTAGTCAGCATTTTATCTACTAATTGCTACACACTACCGCATGTGGCTCGAATCTGCCACTGCAGTTTACTTTCATTGGTGAGCGAACTGCTTGATAAAAACTGCAACTCAACCTGGCTATTTCCTTTCTGGCTCCCCCTCGCCAACCCTCTCTTCCCTCCCCCCTTTTCTCTTACAGCTACACGATACTATTTTTCTAGAAAAATCTCACATGGATGAAAACAGAGGCGGGCAGTGAATGGAATCTTGATGTCTTTCCACAGGACAAGGTCTAGGCAAAAAGGGGAAGGGGAAGGAAGCTCTAGGAAAAGTCTGGGACTTGGGACAGAGCAAGGAAGCAGATCCTAGCTTGCTGAGAGACCTGATGCCTATTGACTCTGAACACTCAGACCTTGGCTAGTCCTGGCCAGGGTGACAGTCAGAAGGGTTCCAGCTGCCCACCTGGGGCTCTCCCCTTACTTGCTTGGCCAAGAAGTGGGGATCCAGAGGTAACCCCTAGAGTGTGTGGATTGAATCGTGACTTTAAAAGCCAGCCCGGTGTGATGGTCAGCCACTGCCTGGCCCATCCCCCTTCAAGGCTGGCGCCAGGACGAGCCAGGGCTGGTTGGTGATCGTCAGAAGGCGGCCTCCAGCAGAGCGGGCTCGCCCGGCTGTGCAACAAGTCTACGGTTAGGATGATAAACAGGGTTATACGGGTCAATGCTTTCCCAGAGACCTCTAGTGGTCAAAGGTTGAGCTACACCTTAAATTTGGGATTCCTAGCTACAGAATGGTCTTCAGGACTGGGGTGGGGGTGGGATGCCAGTCCTGAACCAGTCTGGGGAGACATTTCCGAATGGATTTCGAGCGGGACCCAAGGAATGATGCGCGGGAACTTGGAGAAAGGCACCCTTGGGCAAAGATCACATGATATTCTTTGTGCACAGGGAAGGACCCAAGGTCCCTTCTTACCTCAAATGAATCTTGTATTTTCAGGGAAACTGGGTTTAAAACAAACAAACAAACAAACAAACAACAACAACAAAAAAAGTGCAAATCATTTCCAGTCACAGTATCAACGCTGAGTCTCTCTTTTTTGTTTGTTTTCTTTGTAAGTTAAACTTGAGTTCTAACTTACTTTAATCACCCAGACACTTCTTAATTTTAAGCACCCGTCACTTTTAAATGACCCTGACATTTATGACTTGCTTAGCATACAAATACCAAATTTCTGTTTTAAATGTTGCCTGATTTGCACGGATGCACATAATATATATGACTTTGGATACATAGAACA